TAAAGGAGTGTACAACCACACCTGGCTACCTTATGTTTTGAGATAGCCTTCTCATTGAACCTGGAGCTCACCAATTTGGCTAGACTGGCTGGCCAGCAAGCCCCAGGGAATCTCCTGTCTCTTGCTCCCTGTGTTGGGATTTCAGGTGCATGATGTTGTACCCCCCTCTTTAAAATACAATATTTTAAATAATATTATAATATTTTTACTAATTCTTTGAGTGTTTCATAGACACGTGCAATGTATGTGTCCAGCACTTTTTATATGGGTGCTTACGTGGCAAGCACTTTACTTACCTTCCATCTGCCAGCCCCTCAATTTTTAAGCCACTAGGTGTGCTGGCCAAGTGGGAGACATACAGAGAACTGACATAGAACCTTTGCTTTCAAGGAGCCCGTAGTTGAGTTGGAGGAAAAGACAGTACAGTTCACTAACATCAATGCCATCAACTACCACAGCCATGGGCCTAGTTCTGCATCATCTCATAATACTTCCTAACAGTACCAGGAGATGGACATTGATATCATCAACTTCAAGGCATGGAGGACCCTAGAAGGTTAAGTAAGCTATCTAGGTATCATAGCTGGTATGAAGTCAGCATCTTTGTCTGATTAAAAGGCTTGTGCCCTTAGTCACCACATATATTGTCCTAACTGTGACCTGTGATAATAAAGGCAGGAACACACTGTGTATTTACACTTCCTTTTTTCTGGTTCCTCCTCAACCTATAGGATCTGTCCTCTGTCCACATCCCCCACTGTGAACACTCTTGCCAGGGTCCTCAATGCAGGACCTGGCCAGCCTAGTGGCTTCCACTAAGGCCTTTCCTTCTCCACAGCCTGAACTGGCTCCAGCCCTCTTCTTAGAACATGACCTCTGAGCTCTATCAACTCTCTCCTCCTCTGATTTACCTCCCTCCTCTATTGCTCCATCCTTTAGGCCACCCCAGATGGAGGCCCCTCCTGGACCTGCTCTTCCACACATTCTCGCTGGGAGACTGATCCCTTCTGGAGGGTGAGCACCACCTCCCAGCATCTTCTTTCCACTTCTGCATCCAGCTTGGGGATCGTGTCTGCATAGCCACCTGCTGACTGCCCATCTTTACCTCATGTAACCCAAAGTGAATCCATGGACCCTCGGTGGCTTCCTCCCCAGCTGCTGGTCCTTCTGGGGCCCCTCTGCTAGAGACTGAGCATCTCAAATGCTGTCCACACAAGCCCCACCTGGGAGTCATGTTTGATGTCTCCATCACTGGTACATGGGTACCATCTCCTTTAGTACTTCTTGAGCGTTCCTCTCTACCCACTGCACAGTCCAGGCATACATCCCAGATCCTTTCCTCTTCTTCTACATGCTACCCCTTTTCTCTCCTATCTGGCTGCCAGAGAGGCCCATGGGAAATGCAAATCACCTCAGAAGCCTTCAATGGCTGTCCCTGGGAGCCTGGGGGTAAGGCCTACATTCTTGGCATACCACTTCACCTTACATCTTCCCACTGTCCCTCTTTTTGTAGTCCACTTACAGTGATACCAGGGAACAGATTGACCCTCCTTCACTCTATCCCTCCTAAGCCTTCTGATTCTTAGGGCTCCCCTTGACAGTCACCTCCTCAGGCAGGTGCTCCTGCTGCCTCAGGTGAGTTGGGACCCTGTGCACAGTAGTAGCTCTCTATAACACATGGGAACTCTCTCCGGACAGAAACAGAGAGCAGTCAGGGGCTGCTATTATGTTCTGGGTTTAGCCCCCCCCCCCCAGTACTGGAAAAAAATTTGCTGAAATCAAATGATGGAAAGTTTGGGAGACAGACCCTGGCAGTGATCTTTTAGGGGCATGGATTACTCTATGTGGAGACACTGAATGTTGAAGATACAATGTTCTTTCTCTTCCCTGTTTAGAACCTCAGTTTTATTCATGGGACAACATTTATGTGAAGCTTATTTCTTCCTGTCCTTTGCAGAGGGTTTTTTGTGGTCCTGACAAGATTTAAGGAAAAGAAGGTCTATGTGTATGAAAAGTTTGCCTCTCTGTGAGCCTGGCCCATCCTGTTTCCTATCTGCTACTTTTTTCCTGAGATTAAGAGAGGCAGCTGAAGACAAAGGAGCCACCTTGTGAGAATGAACCACCCCAGCAATGAGCCACACACTAAGGACCCTGAGGGGGCCAAGTCCTGACCCTCTGACTACCTACCAGCAGACTTCCTATGATAGACAATAATTCTCATTGAAGTCACTGTGATTGGATCTGTACTAGGCTTAGCTAAACTCTGTGTAGTAACATTTCTGAATAGGCCTCTCCCTTGGAGGTGACACTGGCCCTGACAGAGAACAAAACGTGATCCTCCTGGGAGTCTACAAGAGGATCAGGGGAGGCCATGTGTCCAGGAAGAAACTCTCATCAGTGTGGCCCCAGTGTGCTGTGATCTTAGCCTGGGCACTTTCTGGTCCCTGCTTGGTTTTGAGACTTCTGGTATCTTTAAAAGTGCTTGGGGCACCTTTAAATGTGCTTAGGGCTGGAGAGATACCACTGGTAAAGTACTTGCCTTACAACCATGAGAACCTGAGTTAAATCCCCAGAATCTATGTAGAAAAAAAACAGAGCATGCTAGTGCACACTTATAATTCCAGAGCTGGGGAGGTGCAGATAGGCAGATCCTGTACTGGCCAGCCAGTCTAGCCCACTCGGTAAGCTCCAGGCCAGTGAGACCCTGTTACAAAGAACAAGATGGAAAGCATCTGAGAAAGGACACCTAATGATGTCCCCTGGCTTCTACATGGGTGTATACACAGACATACACCACACATACATCACACATATACCATACATACCACACACATATACACACACAGAGATACATACACCAGAGACCACACACACCCCTACACATCACACACACAAAAACCACACACATACCCCATACACACCACAAACACATACATACCATACACATGGCAAACATGTAACATACATACCACATATACAGATACACACAACCACACATCACACATACATACATACCATACACACAACAAACACATCAAATACATACCACACACACCAAACACACACACACGCGCACGCACGCACACACACACACACACACACCCTGCACTCCCACACACAAAGCATTTCATGTCTGGGTTTTGCAGTCAGGGTCCTGAACACCTGAGTTCAGGGTCTAGTTCTGTCACCTTCTTGTTGTGTGGACTTTATCCCTTTTTCCTTTTTTTTTTTTTTTTTTTTGGTCTTTTTGAGACAGGGTCCCCCTGTAGCCCCAGCTGTCCTGGAACTCACTATGTAGACCAGGCTGGCCTTGAACTCACAGAGATCCACCTGCCTCTGCCTCCCGGGTGCTAGGATTAAAGGCATGCACCACCATGCCCGGCATGACTTTATCCCTTTCTAGTGGACTCCACTAGCACCCACATCTGTAAAGTCCAGACTGTCACAGCAGCTAGCACTTAAAGCTAATGGTTACACAGAATCCTCAGAGCGCCTGGCACCAGCCACCATGTGTGTGACCATCCATGGTCAGTGCACAGTGGTGACAGTTGTCTGTGTGTTCCAAATTCCCAGTGGACACAGTGGTGATGAAGATCACTGTGGGTCTGAAGGCCTATCCCCATGTACCTGTCTCTGTCTGTGGGTCTATCAGTCAGAGACTGCCCACTGTCCAAGAGCCTCTGATTATGGCTCTGTCTAGGGCCCTTGAACTGAAGGTTCATAGGAGGAGTTCAAATATCACTTGCCAGTTCAGACTAGACCTGCAAAGGAATGCATCTGGCCTTGGGTAAAAATAAGGCATCAGTGTGCTCCAATCCTTCCCCCTTCCCTGTGTCTCAGCTGCAGCTTTCTGGGTACTGAAGGGAGTCTTGTCCTGGACTGCGGCGGGCTGGGAGAGGTGACTCTGCAGGGGACTCTGGGTTAGAGAGCTGGAAGCATGCCTCCCCCACAGATGCTCTTTGAAGCTGAGTTTCAGGATCTTTTTGGCTTTCCCTGGGATAGGGCTCACCTACGCTCTTCTCTGAGCTCTCAGTCCAGGAGGAAAAAAAATAAAGATACAAAGAAAAAGACTTGCTTATTCCAGCCCTGCAGAAGAGGTCAGTGCGGGGGCAATCCCCAGCGTCCAGCGCTTCCCCCTACACCCCCAGAGCTCCAGGCCAAACCTGGCCTAGCTGACACAGCGCCTGCAGTTTACCTTGGCTCTGTTCCAGGGAGTTCGGGCCCAGCCCCGGGCGGCCCCCACCTCTCCACCTTGTTACCCGCCCCTTCTGCAGCGCAAAGAGCAGTTTAAATATAAATCAGTCCTCAGCACAAACAGAACCTCAGCGAGTCCCTGAGCCATCACCGGAACTGAGGGCCCAGGTTTGAGTGAAAACACCAAGAGCCCAGCTCTCAAGTCCTCCAGAGCCGCAGGAGCCCACGACTCCTGTCCATCACCTGGAGACCCCGCGTCCCTCCAGTCCCCTCTAGCTCCCTCCTACCCCCCTCCCACCGTCCCCCGTGCTTGGTCCCCTCGAGTAACCAGCTCTCTGTTCCAGGCTGCACCCACCCTCGCCTCTCCATCCCCAAATCCCCCCACCCGCTTGCATCCTCCTGGCCCCTCCAGTCACTATCCCCTTCTCCAGGGACCTGCCACCTCCTTGCACGCCACCTCCAGGCAGGCGGGACTTTCGGGGCAGTCAGGCCTCACGGGTTGGCGGAGCCCTGGTCCAGCCCCATCGCCTCCGGATTTCCTCAGCCGGGAGCAAGCCCCCAAGACACCTGTCTGGGGAGGCGACAGCGGAGGGCGGGGGCTTGCAGCGCCTTTGACACTGGAGGAAGAGAGGGAGGAGGGAGAGCGCGTTTCATCATCCGCGACGCCTGCCGCTACTTATAAAAACTCCTGGGCGCGCAGTCTCTGGCTCAGTCTCTGCGCCGCGCTCAGGTCTCGGCCACGGCCGCTGCCCAAGGCGCCCGGGTCGGGTCGCTGAGAACCTGCCCCCAGCCGGTTGCCACCGCCCCCGCATCGCTCTGCAGCCCGCACCCCGCCACCACCATGGGGCTCCTGCTCAAGCCTGGAGCGCGCCAGGGAAGCGGCGCCTCTTCCGTCCCAGCCCGCAGCTGTCCCCGCTCTGTCTTCTGTAACATTAAGGTGAGCAGAGTCCGTGGGACGCAGCCTTGGGCGTCGATGTGCCGAAGTCCGGGCCCTGGGTGCTCGGGGCTCGGTCCTCCGCTCCCTGTGCCTCTTCCCTGGAGACTGGCTGGGCCGGCGAGGGGGCGATGGCAGGGGGATCGCGTGTGTGTGTGTGTGTGTGTGTGTGTGTGTGTGTGTGTCCTCGCCTGCGCTGCGTGCTCCCCATCCATCGAGATAATAAACAGGAGCATGGAAGTACCTGTGGACAGAGACAAAGTTAAGCACCAAGGGAGGGAGCTCTCATGGAGAAAGAACAGCCCCAGGAACAACTTTTAGTCTCTATGGGCACGCTCTTGGTTAGTGTCTCCAGGTGCCAGTCTGCAGCTTGTGGGCCATAGGCTGAGCGCACCCTGGGAGGTCTCAGGTGAGAGCGCATGCTGTCCAGGCTGTCCGGAGTGGGTGGCCGGAATCTTCACGCCTCCTGTGGGCTCCCACCTGTGCAGCCACCGGACAGGTGAGTTGCTACCTGGTTGCAAAGAGCCCAGCAGTGTCGAGAATTCCCCAACTCGCCTGTTGGGCCAAAGCAGTTCTTCCAGTCTGGAAATGGTCCCAAAAATACAGCGGTCCTCTCGTTTTCTAGAAGGGTCAGAGGAGGTGCTTGTGGCCGGGCGAGTTATGGGGACCCAGGGAAGAAAAAGTCGGGATGTTGGCAGTGTTTGGAATGAGAAAATCTACTTCCCAGAGGGTCACAAACGAGTTCTACTTTCTCACCGGCCCTGGGATGTTGAAGTCTCACCAACTCACATTTTTTTAGGGGGTCTACTGAAGAAGGCACCTCCTGAGAGGGGGAAGCTACAGAACCTCTATCTAGGCAACTTGAGGCCAAGTAGTATTATGGTGCAGTAGTATTATGGTGCAATCCTACTTCAGATGCAATGAGTGATACAGGTAGCAGCCCGGATTCACAAGGAGCTCTGTGGGCAGGGCGTGTGTCTAACAGAAAGGGATTTGGTTGCCAGAGTGGACCTCACCTACATACTTTTACTTAGGGGGGTGGAACTGGAACCCCAGGGGGGACTCCTGCATCAGTTCTTTTCCCAGGCCACAATTTTAAAAGGTTGGATTTGTTTCACACTGGGATACTAATAAGACAGAAAATTGGAGCTTATTAAAAATAACCCTCAAATTTCCTCACCTTTGGCCAGAACTTGATGGGAACACCATGTGTCATTTGGGTTCCATCAGTTAAAAGAGATTTGGAGAAGTTCCAGCTGAGAATCCTGGAGATTTTTGATGTTTTTAACTTAGGAATGAGAAGAAAGGGTGTGTGCAAGGGTTGGGTGGTCTGAAAGGAATGGGGCTGTGGGAGGAGCAGGGGAAGGAGCAAAATCCCAACTTTACCCAAGAATGGCAGGAAGGTGCTGTCCTGTGGTAATATTGACAAGAATAAGCCTGTGCCATTTAGACTCACCCTGAGTCCCTAATATAAATGGATGGCTCCATGTCTTTGAAGATAGATTTAAAAAAATAATTGCTCACATGTCCATGTTTCATGCTGGAGACCTGGGTCCAGACCAGTTGGCCTCCGAAAGAAGTAAGTACCCTTATCAGTTAAGAGTTTTTCTTGGTGCTTAAGAAACCAGATTCAGTTGATCATCTTGGTTGAGCCATAATAAGCTCAGGTGGTAGTTTGGGGATGCCGCACCTTGAGTTTAGGCTCTTTCAGGAGAAATCAGGCACACCTGGAATCTGCACTCCTCCTGGCTAAGCTCCAGGAAACCTTTTCCTTCTGAGGCAGCAGCACCTGGCGCTTTGCTATTTGAAGAGAGACTTCCTCCTCCTCCTGGTGACAGGTTGGGTGACCGCTTCACACCTTCCCAGAAGGGAATTGGTGACTATAGTGACATGGAAGGAGGAGACAAGGGACATCCAGTCTCCATTGCTGGGATGAACTTAGCTGCTTTGTGGCTATTGCTGCAAACTCACATTCCATATGGTTCAGGGAAAGGAGATAAACTCCTAGGACACAGATCCATCATCCTGACCACTTACTTCCTGGGTCACACAGGAAATACATCTCACCTTTTCTGGACCTCAGGGTCCTTTCCTTTAAAAGTGAGTGACACAAACAGTTCCCACCCAGCTCAGTAACAATTACCTAGGATCAGGGTAGGAAGGAGCTCCAGGGATGAGCACCAAAGCTGAGATCACTTCTCACGTCAACAAACAGGACTGTGTGTTCAAGTGTCATTTAAGAGCTGTTGTACCATGCTACCCTAGTAGGCCTGAAGCCCTGTTTCATGTCTAATGTTTTTACATGGGGGTTGGGGATGGAACTCAGGTCCTCATGCTTGAAAGGCAAATACTTTATGGGGAATGTTTTGGTTTTGTTTGTTTGTTTGTTTTGTGGTGCTGAGTATTGAATCCAGAGTCTTAAACATGAATTATACCACTGAGCTTCCTCCCAAGTCCTTGGGGGTTAACTTTCACACCTCTCCCCTGCTCCGGTAGGAGGAAATGTCAGCATGTTTAATTTAGAGACAGTCTCCTGTGATGTCTGGCTTGCAAGATTCTTAGGAAGCTCAGAATCTGCTCAAACGACCTTTTTCAAACAGTACGTTCAGCGCCCAAAAGTCTAAATTCAAAACAGGTTCCTTTGGAGATCCTGGGATGGGAAGTGGGGGTGTTGGTAGGAAGGAGTCTTTGCACTGGCTGACTTCCGGCAGCCTTGGACAGATATGCTTTTCCCTAAAGTAAAACACTCTTTTGGAGCCAAGTTGAGGTTATCTTATAGCAGGAATAGTCTGCTGGTGATGGCTGCCAAACCTCAGGAAATGACACACCCAAGGCTCCAGTATAGTGAAATCATATATGCTGGGGTAGAGGCACCCCAGTGGGAAAAGAAGAAAGAAGGACCAACCTCAACAGCGTGGCCCGGAGTTGCCTTGGTGACCACTGACCTGGGAGGAGTAAAAATGGGACAAGAGTACTTTGTCCTGGCGTGCGTCTAGAATCTGAGGCCTTTGATCCCCCACCATGGGGAAGTCTCTTGGGCCTAACTTCTTGATTTCCAGAGTCTAGTGCTACATCCCAACAATCTAATCCATGCCCAGGAAAACACTCAATAGAATCCAGGTACCCAAGAACAGCTCCTCTGATCAGTGGATGAAGATGCACCCACCCCCCTCTAGGGGGTGCATTTTCCTAGCATTCAGGGCTTGCTCTGCTTGTAGGGAGAAGAGAGGGAGGAAGGAAGCCGGGAACTGGTGGGAGCAGGGGTCACAGGTTACTAGGATCTTCTCTTAGATGATGATCAAAGCCTTCTCAACACTGAACAAATGAGCGGCTTACATTTCTCAGGGTGGAGAGCTCATTTCACCCTCCCTATTTGTGATGGTGACTACCACTTTTTCCATGCTGGGAGACCAGGCTAGGGTGTTGAAATGGGGGGGTAGGCTTCTCCCCACTTCCCCTTGTCTTGACATGTTGGAGGTCATGGCATTTGTAGAGGTCCCTAGCCCCACCTCCTTCCTCTCTTTCTTCCGACCCTTGCTTGCTCTTATCCCATGCTTTCAAATACCTCCTAACATCCTCTCCATCTGTGGGGGCACTGACTATACAGAATGCCTGCTGTGTCCAAGTCTGAGGGCAGGGGCTAGGGACCTCCAAGAAACAGGGATAAAGGGGCCCAGAGGCCAGGATGCTTCCTGGGCCCCTCAGAGAGCCCTGTGGGGAGGGGGAGGGTTGGCGGTCTGTCTACTATTCTTAGACTATTTGACCATTTTAACCTCAGTTTCTTCAGGAATCCTGTGGAGAAAGGGTAGTGTGAGTTTGTTCTTGTCTGTGCCCACAGGACCCACACAGCTGGCTGTCACTGTGGGCCTGAAGGGTCCCTCACAGTGGCCCCTTTCTGGGAAAGGGAAATCTGCCTGGGTTACTAGTACAAGACACAAGTTGATTTGTTTCAAGTCTTTTAAAAATTAGTTTTCTGTTTGAAGCAATGATAGATTCATAAGAAAGCTGGTGTCGAGATGCCCTGTATATATCTGTCACCATGTCTCTCGGTGGTTCTGTTACATAGCAATAGTAGTTACAAAGGACATCAAAATCAGGAAACTGACATTACTATCTACATAGCAATAGTAATTACAATGGATATCAAAATCAGGAAATTGGCATTACTATCGCATGTGCAGCTTTATATATATATATATATATGTAGTGTGTGTGTGTGTGTGTGTGTGTGTGTATGAGTGTATTGCCTGCATCTGTGTAAGTGCATTCATGTCATGCAGTGCTCTTGGAGGTCAGAAGAAGGTTCAGATCCCTTGGAACTGGAGTTACGGATGGTTGTCAGCCACCATGTGGGTACTGGGAATTGAACCTGGGTCCTCTGCAAGAGCAGTCAGTGCTCTTAACCGCTGAGCCATCTCTCCAGCCCCTACTTTTTAATTTTTTTAAAATACTGTTTTTTTTGTTTTTATTTTATGTATGTCTTGCCTGCATGTATGCTCATGCAATACCCAAGAGGCTAACTGTTGAGCCACCTCTCCAGCCCCTATTATCTTGTGTTTTAAGCCCTATTGAATAGAATCTGTGCTTCCCAAGTGCTCTTGGGTATGGGCCTATCTCTTGGAGTCTAGTCAACCTACCAAACGTCATGAAGAGGGAGTAAGAGGCATCATCAAGTTTGCTTTTGATAATGGGGGTGAGAGCTCATGCACTTATCTGTTCCAGCTGCTTTCTGGTCTTATCCATTTGGCATATTTTTTCCCTTGGACCTTAGATCTGGATTTCTAAATTCTTTTCTATGGGATGGAGAGATGGCTCAGTCAGTAAGGTACCAGCCATTCAAGCATAAGGACTGAACTGGGATCCCCAGAACCCATGTAAAAATCCAGATTCGGTGGCACCAGCTATAATCTCAGTGCTGAGGGGGCAGAGACTCGCTGAGGGGGCTCCTGAGGCTCGCCGCCCAGCCAGTCTAGCCAAATCTGCAAGCTTCAGGTACACTAAGA